ATTGCCCATCGCTCAGTCAAGTCATAAGGCTTACCGGCTTCCACTCGATGCCCGGCCCCCCTCCCCGTTTCCACCCCCTCCCCCGGCCTGGGCTTCGCCTCACTTGCTCTAATAAAAAGTTCACCAGCAGATACCGACTTCCAGTTCCCAGCACGCTGCACGGGTCCCGGATGGATCCCGCACGGTGACTGCGGGCCTGGGTCAGGGCCAGGGCCTCCGGAAAAGGCGGGGTCAGGGCTCCGGAGCCGCTCACCACCAGGGCTGGGGACGCGGGCTGCGCGCGCCTGGGCACCTCCCGCGCTCGGAGACCTTTGCCTCTCCTGGGCGCCCTTCGAATCCTGTCGAACGCACTTGGAGCGCTTCCCGGCTCCTGGGAGCTCCGGCATCTTCCTCTCACCGCGCTCCAGCTGCTCAGTGCCCCTCGAATCCTGCTGTCCCGCGCTCGGAGGCCTTCACCGCTCCTTGGTGCTTCCGCGTCTGCCTCTCCCCGCGCTCCGGGCCGACCGCCGAACGTGGGCGCCTCCGCTCTATCCTGCCTCTGCCTTGGGCAGAGCCCTTCGCCGCACCTGGGGCCCCCGCACCTGCCCCCCACGCTCCGGGCCCTTCGCTGTACTTGGCTGCCTCCGGTGCTGTCTGCCCTGCTCACAAGGCGCCAGGGCCGTCGGCGAAGCTCAGCCCGGCCTGGGCTGCTCCGTTTTAGTTTCCTCCTCTCGGGGGAACTCCGCCTCCCGCCCACCTCTCCCTCAAGGAGGCAAATTGGAAAAGGGCTGCGGAGGGGAGCCCACTGGAAAGTTGGACGCTGACCGGACGTTTTGGCGCCTGGCGGTATCCAGGCCCCGGCGGTATCCAGGCCCCGCCACAAGGGCACCTGGGCGAGTCCAGGACCTCTAGGTCAGAATCCGCGGGAGGTGAGCAGCTCACGATGGTCTCCGGTCGCTGTTGAACTGGGTGTGAGACCAGTTGGGAGCGAGATAGAGACCTGCGGGGCTGTCTTGCAATGGGAGGACAGCAACTCCAGCAGACATGGGCACTCCTTTTGAGGGGCGGAATGGAAGGAATAGGGGCTTAGTGTACTCGGTGGGCGCTGTTTAGTGGCCTAATGGTCCATATAGGATCAAGGGCTTAGTATTTCGCAGGTGTCGATTGGTGGTTCAGTGTATAGTCCATATAAGGTACATGGTTAGTCTCTCTAGTATTTCTGGGCTGCAGGTTATGTCATACTCTGCCCACCAGTTGGGGGAAGGGAGGACATATCACTGGGCCCAGAGGTAGACCATCTCCTCCTTCCTCCAAGGATGGGCTAAGGGTGAGGGTGGGGGTGGATATAATTTTCATTGATTTCTGTCTCTCAAAATCAGCTTTAAAAATATAGTTTTTAAAGTCTCAAAATTTCTATTATCTTTAAATGTATTGCTAGGAGCAATCTCATTTTTATATATTTCCCTAGCACTTTATTTTGAATGTATGTCTTAACTCTAAAGATTTTCTAGCTTTTATGTATTATTTTATATTTTTTCTTTATTGATTAAGGTATTACATATGTGTCCTTATATGTATTATTTTATATCCATTAAGCTATTTGTGCCCATAGCTTATTTTCCCTACTAGACTGACAGCAACTTGGAGACAATACAATATTCTAATTGGGCCTTAGCTGGGTGCTCAGTTGGTTAGAGGTTTGTCTCATACACAAAAGGTGGCAGGTTTGATTCCTGGTCAGGGCACATACCTAGGTTTCAGGTTCAATTCCCATTTGGGGTATGTAGGGCATGTACAGGAAGGCTATTGATAGATGTTTCTCTCTCATATTGATGTTTTCCCCTCTGTCTCTCTCTCCCACCGCCTCCCTCTAAAATTCAATAAGCATGTCCTGGGATGAAGATTTAAATATATCTACATTAATAAAAGACAAACATGCAAATTGACCATGCCTTCGCTATGCCTTAAGCCACGCCCACCAGACAATCAGAGTGACTGTATGCAAATTAACCCAACCAAGATGGCGGCCAGCAGCCACAGACTGGACCAAGCAGGAGGCTTGGTTGCCCCAGTGATGGAGGAAGCCAAGCTTCCCGCTGCCATGGCCAGCTCTGAGCTCCACTCAAGGAAACAAATTTCAATTATAGAAGATAATAAACCCCAGATACCTGCTTTCAGCTGGCCGTGGCCATGGAGCTGGAGTGAGCAGGAGGCTTGGGTTGCCCCTGGTGATGGAGGAAGCCAAGCTTCCCACCCGCCCTGGCCAGCTCTGAGCTCCACTCAAGGCTACAAAGTTTCAATTATAGAAGGAAAATAAATCCCAGAATAAAAGAAGAAAATAAAAAAAGGAGAGGCTGGGAGCTTCCATCGCCAGGGGGCTTGGCCAACCTGAAAACAGCCCTCAGCCCCTCACCCATACTGGCCAGGCACCCCAGTGGGGACCCCCCACCCTAAAGAGGGTGTGGCCAGCGTGAAAACATCCATCAGCCCCTCACTCAGGCTGGCCAAACTTCCATGGGGTGAGGGTACCCACTCCGGGGAGGGGGATGGCTTGACCAGCCTGCAAACAGCCACCAGGCCCTCACCCAGGCTAGCCAGACACCCCAGCGGGACCCCCACCCTGATCCGGGACACCCTTCAGGGCAAACCAGCCAGCCCCTACTTGTGCACCAGGCCTCTATTCTATATAATAAAAGGGTAATATGCAAATTGACCCTAACAGCAGAACGACTGGGAATGACTGGTCACTATGACACACACTGACCACCAGGGGGCAGATGCTCAATGCAGGAGCTGTCCCCTGGTGATCAGTGCACTCCCACAGGGGGAGCTCTGCTCAGCCACAAGCCAGGCTGATGGATGCCAGCACAGTGGTGGTGGCGGGAGCCCCTCCCGCCTCCTCAGCAGCACTAAGGATGTCTGACTGCAGCTTAGGCCTGCTCCCTGCTGGAAAGTGGACATCCCCCAAGCCTGCCGGTATGCCAGAGGATGTCTAACTGCCAGCTTGGGCCCGATCCCCCAGAGAGCGGGCCTAAGCCAGCAGGTGGACATCCTCCGAGGGGTCCCCAGACTGCGAGAGGGTACAGGCTGGGCTGAGGGACCCCCCCTGCCCCCACTGCCAAGTGCAAAATTTTTGTGCACAAGGCTCTAGGATATATATATATATATATATATATATATATATATATATGTAAATTGGGTTTTGCATCCCAGAATTTACAGTGCAGTGCTTTACTCTTGAAGCAGCACTCAGTAAATATTTAATCAAAAGGATGAATTCATGTTGACATGAACATACTGGTGATAGACTCATGTTTAGCTATGTTTAATTGGGAACAATTCTACATTTTCAGAATATGCAGGTTCCCAGGGAGGCCTGGTACTGGCTGAGGCTCGAAGAGGAGACTGAAGAAGAGGAAGAGGAAGAAAACGAACAAAATGAAGATGAATATGAGAGTGACGATTTAAGTGTATGTTTTGGGACCATTTCCTTGAGCAGGGTGTCTCAGCATTGGCACTATTGACATTTTGAGCCAGGTAGTGGTTTGTTCTGGGGTGCTGTTCTGTGTATTGTAAGATGCCTGTTGCACTTGTGACAACCGAAAATATCTCCAGACATTGTGAAATGTCCTCTGAGGGGAAATCACCCCTAGTTGAGAACTACTGCCTTACAGGTTTGTTAACCCCAGATCAAAACTTTATCATGTTTCCCTTTAGCTTCAGTATACCCTCTCATCTCCGCTCTAGTGTGGTTGATGGATTAGCTGCAAATGTAAATTATTTTCATTTTTACCTTGTTTCCTGTTAAACTTGTGGAATTGATTCTCATAAGTACCCTTCTTCCCCACCCACAAACAAAACAAAGCAAACCTCAATTCAAAGAAAGAGGAGATTATGCAACAAGTCACTACACATTTCTATGGTTACATGTACATAAGACTTTGGTAGGAAACATTAAAAATTTGAAAAACCTATGTTCCACTTAAATGGGAGACCACTGATGAGAACTGTAATGGCACAGGGAGCAGTGTTCTCCCTCATCCCACTGGGGAAGGTAGATTCTTTGACAGTAGAAGTGGTCTTTAAACAATCCTCATCCTAATAGAGCCAGCCAAATTCTATTTCTGAATGTTAACAGGTAGTCTTTATTCTGTCTGGAAAACTTGTGAAAATAATCAGGGTAGCTGGTAAAGTGGGACACATGCTAAAACATTCTGCCTTTCACACCTCTCCTGACTGGAAGAGAGTGTAGCGGAAGATTTATGGCCTTGGGCTAGTTCAGCAGGATCCCAGAGACCAGAAAACCAAGATCCTGGTCAATGTGAACCATTAATGTGCTTGTGTCCTATATCTAGGTACTGGACAAATTACAAATATTGACGAGTTATTTAAGAGAAGAACATCTGTATTGTATTTGGTGTGGAACAGCCTATGAAGGTAAGAAAATGCTTTAAACTTTTAAAAAATATTGAATACAAATGCTCTTTGATTTTAACTTTATTTTTTTTTTATGAATGTCATATTTCCCATAGATAATGGAAATTTCTTATTCTATCCAAAAGGTAATGTAGAATCAATGTCTTAAATAAGTAGTAAGCATAGAAATAATTGAGGCCTTGTTAAAGGTGTTTTTAACTGTTTGGAAACAAAGTGCAGAAGGGAATTTTTCAGTCTTTTATTCACTTAAGGGTAATTTTTTATGCTTTATTTTTAATCTTTCTTAAGTTATAGATACTTCAAAGATATATTAGCTTTTTAGAACTCATTATTATATAAATAGAATATTTGTCCCTGAACCATAAAAATCATGTTGAAATCCACTTTTTTTTTTAATTTTAGAAAGAAATGGTTTAAAACTTGTCATATGTATTACAGAGCCAAGTGCTTTCCCTTCTAATACAGTTGCCCATGCTGGCTTTATTAACTTGAATTTAAGGGCTTTGAACTTGAGAGAAGAATTTTTGGTTATTGTTGTTTTTACGAGTAACTTTTCCTGGTTTAACAATCAGGAGCAAACAAAGCTACAAAATGCATGTTATGTTGAAATAATTTTCTAGAATAGTTTACAAGTCTTCTATTTTCTTCATGTAAATTACAGATAAAGACGACCTGTCTTCAAATTGCCCAGGACCAACTTCTGCAGATCATGACTAAGATTCTCAATAAAGTAGAAACTTGGAAAATGCTGTTGTTTCCTACACAGTTAAGCCGTTAGAATTCCCAATAATTTGTATGTTTTTTTTCTACTTTAGAGGTACTTTGTACTTTAAAATATAAAAGTTCATGGACTCCAAAATTAAATAATGGAATGCTTTTTAGAACACCAGATGGGCCATTACAAGTTATGGCTCTATTGTGATGCTTATGGAATTTAAGGACACCAACAGGTAACTCTCTTATTCCCCTCTTCACTTCGGAACAAGTTAAAAAATAAGATGTGGAAGTCAGATATCACAATATCAGCTTTATTGTCCATGAAGCTGAAACAGAGAGCAAGGCTGACCTGTCTCCAGTCAGGCTCCCTAATAAATCTGCCTGATTGGAGAGAACTGCAGGTCTCTCTCTGTCTTGCAGGGACAGAGCCCAACTTTGCATTTTGAGACCAGTTAGCTTTCTAGGTGAGAGGATCCACCAGACACTGAGCCTCACATGCTAAGTTCCATCTCCCAAAATCACTCATCAGATAAGACATCGCTGCCCTGGCCAGTTTGGCTCAATGAACAGAGAGTCAGCATGCCCACTGAAGCGTCCTGGATTCAAATCCCGTCAAGGGTTCTCTCTCACATTGATGTTTCCTCCTTTCCACTCTCTCTAAAAATCAATGGAAAAATATCCTCAGGTGAGGATTAACAAACAAAAAGACACCCCTCTATTGAGAGGGAATGAATGAGGGTTCACAGAGCTTGTTCCCACACTTCTCAGAGCTCACTGCCTTAAAACAAACCATTCCATTGCTGGCAAGGTCTAAGCAATTTCAAAGTTATTTTTCTGTCTTAAGCTGAAATCTGCTTCCCTATAATTTAACTGAATGCAGCTGAAGACCTACTGTGGCACACCTCTGCAGAGCTCCATCCAAGGTTGGGCATGAAAACCGTGAACTTTTTTTTAAAGTGATTTTGATCAGCTCATCTCGGATAATTCCTTAAAGTCCTAAGAATGAGTCTCATAAGCCCCTGTGGGTGAAAACTAATGCTCTAGGTTAAATATAGGGCACTGCTGCTCTTGGGATAGCATTGTGACCGCCCCTGTACAGCTTTACCTCTCACCTTTCAGTAGTGAAGAGCAAGAGGTCAACCTCTTCTCCCTTTTGGTAGAAACAGAATACACGAGAGCATAGCAAAAGCTAAGCTACTCTGGCACAAGCTAACCAATAGCACAACTTGCTTTAGCCTCCGACCTAACGTGACCTAGTTCACTGGTCCTCAAGTTGAACATTGGGAGCTTTAAAAAAGAATACGAGGGTCCCACCCCCAGAGATTCTGATGTCATTGGTCAATGGGGCTTTGGCAGCACTGCCCTTGACTCTAAGATGCAGCAGAGCTTGAGAACCACTAACCTGGTTCACTTCTGGGCCTCAGTTCTTCATAAAGAGCATGAATCATTTTTATGAATATAAGTACATATATAAAATATGGGGCACATCTGTAATACTGTCAACAATAAAGATAAAGTTAAAATACTCCCTCCCACAGCGAACTCCCTCCCCCTGCATATTCCCTAAAATAAATAAATAAATAAATAAATAATAAAGTTAAAAATAAATTGTCATTGCCCTAACTGGTTTGGCTCAGTTGATAGAGCGTTGGCCTGAGGACTGTAGGTTCCCAGGTTTGATTCCAGTCAAGGGCATGTGCCTTTGTTGCGGACACATCCCCAGTAGGGGGTGTGCAGGAGGCAGCTGATCAGTGGTTCTCTCTCATCGATGTTTCTAACTCTCTATCCCTCTCCTTCCTCTCTGTAAAAAATCAATAAAATATATTTAAAAATATATATTGTCGTTTATATAAATAATGCTGTTGAATATTTACTTGTTTCATTTAAAAATAATAAAACTATGTTAATAACTAAAAGGAGTACATCTTTCCCTCAGATTTACAGTCAAATCCTTTCCTGTCATTTCAGCCAACATGCCTGTATTCCTCCAGTCAGTCCCAAAGCCATGTGGAATGTGTCACATGGGAATCAGGAACTGGCTTCCTTGTCTCCTCTTAGTGACTGTGGGGACAGCCCACCACCTGCCCAGTGGCCTAGAATATTCTGAGTATGTTCATGAACAATTCTGCTGAGAATGGGAATGACCTTGGTGGACCCCATGACTCCACCAGAGGGTGATCTGCATTTCCAAGCCCAGGGTCTACCTTGGAGAGTGGGAGACAGACATCCTGCCATTCTTATCCTTCAGTAGTTCCAAATGAAGGCTTTCAATGTGAGTAAAAGTGCTTTATTCATATAGGCCTTTTATGAGTTCATAACTAGACAATAATGAAGACCAAGGGAAGCAAAACATTGAAAATAATTTTTCAATTATCTTTAGAACATCTATGTGAAATTTGAAACATCAAGTAAATTTTAATGTCATTTACTTTTGTTTATATTGTGCTGTTTATTTTCAAAGTCCTATCTATAATTTCTAAAATGTTTCATTTTCCTAATTTCAAATCCCACATACTGGAGCTTCTGAAATTCAAAACAAGTAGATTTCAGTGTAGCAAACTGATTTGTCTTACAGACCTTTAAGTGTTATTTGCCAAACGTTTAATAGTTAACATTTTAAAGTGGACTTTTAGTATTAATTATATTTTGTAAGTTTGATCACGTGAAATTAACACTCTCCACCCATTCAAAAGCACGCCTAACTGCTCCCCTAAGTGCTGAATGCAGGGCAGTGTACTCGATGTCTTGGGCTATTCAAAAAGCAGAGTGCCTGTGCCTGTCCCTGCTTTCCAGCAATTCACAGTATGATCTGAACAGCCATGTGGGAATAGCTGAGCTTGAGGCCGACTGGAAAGCACAATACAGAGGGACTACACAATGGGAGTACTAGGGAGAAGTTTCATTCTGAGAGGGGGATGGTGGAACACTATGGAGGTAGCACTGAATTTGGGTTCTGAATATAACTTTGAGGAAGGAGCTACAATATGACCCAGCAGTTTCACTCTTAGGTACATGCCCAAGAGAACATGTCCACATAAAACCTGAACATGAACATTTGTAGTAGCCTTCTTCATAATAGCAGGAAAATGGAAACATCCCAAATGTCCATCAATTAACAAGTAAATAAAATGAAGTATCCAGCCCTGACCGGTTTGGCTCAGTGGATAGAGCGTTGGCCTGCGGACCAAAGGGTCCCAGGTTCGATTCTGGTCAAGGGCATGTACCTTGGTTTTGGGCACATCCCCAGTAGGGGGCATGCAGAAGGCAGCTGATGGATGTTTCTCTCTCATCGATGTTTCTGATTCTCTATCCCTCTCCCTTCCTCTCTGTAAAAAATCAATAAATATATATTTTTAAAAATATGAAGTATCCAATAAAAAGAACTGATCCATGCTACAACCTGAATAAACCTTAAAAACATTACACACAGTGAATAAAACCATGTATTGTATGATTCCACTTGAATGAAATGTCCAGAATGGGGAAATCCACAGAGATAGAAGGTAGATCAGTGATTGCCTAGAATGGGGGGGAATGAGGAATGACTGCTAATGGGCATGGGATTTCTTTGGAGGCTGACATAATAATGGTAAATATTTACCCCATCTTTCCCATTCAGCCTTAGAGAAAGTTCTTTATAGAAGAATCATAGATGATAAATGCAAGAGTTTGATAGAATCCAAAAATCACTATTTTGTAACCCCTAATGAATTAATGGATCCAGACAACATTCATCAATGGTTGCTAAAACCATTAGGTGAAAGATTGAAAGGAAGCCTTGTGATGGATGACAGCACCACGAGCCACCAATCAATCTGAAAATCACCCGAAGTGGAACCACCAGACATTGTAACCAGAAAGGATACAATATCACCTCTGCAGTATTCTTGGGGGGCAAGTATCAAATCAGAATCAAATCAAGTTTCTAGACTAACTAGACACCAGGGAGATACCATCAGCCAAATCCGGAATGGAGTAAATTCTATGATAAATATTCCAGTTCCTTCCTCAAATACATGGCAAGAAGAAAGAAACTGAAAACAAGGGTAAATGTTAGAGAGTAAAAGAGACACCAACTAAATGCAATGTTGAATTCTGATCGAAACAACCTGTAGAAAAGATACTTTTGAGACAGGAAAACTGAATGCATGCTGAATTATGATATACTAGTAATTAAAAACATCTTATTAATTTTGTTGAGTGACAATGATATTGCGGTTTTGTTGACATTAAAAGATCTTATCTCTTAGAGATAAAGATCATTTTAAGTATTTTCAAGTTAGATGACATAATGCCTTAAATTTGTTTTAAAATACTCCAGCAAAAGAAATTTCTTAAAAAGGTGAATGCATTATCTATATATATATATATATATATATGTCATATATAGGAATATCTTTCAAAATTTCCACGTGTGCTTTATAATTTGCAAATAAGGTCTCTGGATTTTGCCCCTCTCCTCTGATTAAGAGGAAACATTTTATTCATTATAATTTTGAGGCTGAGAAAATATATACTCACAAATAAAAACTTCCAAGATATAACATAAATATTAAAATGAGAAAGTAAAAATAAGGCTGCCTTCTTTTTATTACAGCCTTACTCATTATATCTAGATAATACTGGTTTTTTAAAAAGATTTCTCCCTTCCCAGAAATATTTCAAACCTACAGAAAAGTTCAAAGAATATGACAAAAAACATTTCTATACCCTCAACCTAGATTTATCAATAGGTCAACTGTTAACATTTGCTTTCTTTCTCTCTCATCATATACACATTGATTTTTGCTAAACATTTGAAGTGGGAGGGAAATCCACTTCACCCCTAGATACTCCTTCATGCATTGACTAAGAATAAGACATTTTCCTGCATGACCACAATATCATTATCACACCTAAGAAAATGAATACTGCCCGGCCAGTATGGCTCAATGGTTGAGCATCGACCCATGAACCAGGAGGTCACGGTTGGATTCCTGGTTAGGGCACATGCCCAGGTTGCAGGCTCAATCCCCACTGTGGGGTGTGTAGGAGGCGGCTAATCAATGATTTTCTCTCATCACTGATGTTTCTATCTCTCTCACCCTCTCCCTTTCTCACTGAAATCAATAAAAATATTTTTAAAAGAAAATGCATAATTATTCTATGTCATCTAATATGCCAAGCCCCTTGCCCAGACTGCCCATTGGGTCTCCTCTCTCCTCATCCAAATCCCCAGCTGGAGTATTACTTGTAAGCCCTGTGCAGATTAACTATTTTCTATGCTTAGCTATTGCCTTACGGCAGAGTTATCATCTCTTTAAAGCAGCAGTCGTCACCCTTCGGACCTCGTGGACCACCGCTTGCCAACCGCTGCTTTAAAGTGTTTGTGAGAATAGATACAAAATGTATTTAAGGTAAATAATTGTAAACACTAGTGAACTCAACATCCAGTTTAAGAAAAAAAAGTTAGCAGTACCTTCGAAATTCACTTCCCCAGTCACATCACCACCATCCTTCCCCAGAGATAACCATTATCAGAATTTAATATTTCTCAACATTTCCTTCCCTTTATTATTATTTACATTTGTTTAGATTCCTACACAAATGTATCATTTAGCATGTTCTGGAATTTTATATAAATGGGATCATTCTGTATACATTTTCTGTAACGTGCCTTGTGGCTTACATTGTTCCTGAGGGTGAATCATGTTGTTACATTTAGCTGTCATGTGTCCATTTCCACTGCCCTGTAGTATTCCAATGTGAATATAATACAATGTATGTATCCACTTTTCTCTTGATGGACAGTAGTGTTGTTTTCTGTTCCTTTGACTTTTACAAACAAGATTTCTATGAACATTCTTGTAGGCATGTATGTAGGAATGGAATTGATGGCTTTCCGGTATATAAACATTTATCTTTATTAGAGGATAAACTGTTTTCCAAAGTGATTGCACATAATTTATCTTTTTATGGTTACAATTTTTCTCCAACTGGCTTGTTAGCTATTTAAAATAGGGAACAAGCTTATTTCTTTTTGGCTAGAAACAAGCTTTTTAAAAAAATTATTAATTCATTAATTTATATAAAAATTGAGAGATTTTTTTTCCCCAGTCTTCATAATAAGGAGCTGAGCTAGAGGAAAGTCAAATGCAAAAATGTTTTTGAAATTAAAAAGTATAGGCCTGGCCGGTGTGGATCAGTTGGTTGGAGCACTGTCCCATACACCAAAAGGTGGCAGGTTCGATTCCCAGTCAGGGTACATACCCAGGATGAGGGTTCGACCCCTGGTCAGGGCACATGCGGGAGGCAACTGATCAATATTTCTCTCTCTCAATAATGTTTCTCTCTCTCTCTCTCTCTCTCTCTCTCTCTCTCTCTCTCTTTCTCTCTCTCTCCTTTCTTCTAAAAATCATTTTTTTTTAGAAATATGGAGGTTTCTGCTGAGCAGCATTTGCCTTCTTCTTTTTAAAATATATTTTTATTGGTTTCAGAGAGGAAGAGAGAGGGAGAGAGAGAAACATCAATGATGAGAGTGAATCATTAATTGGCTGCCTCCTGCATGCCCCGCACTGGGGATTGAGCCCACTTCCTGGGCATGTGCCCTGACCTAGAAACGAACTGTGACCTCCTGGTTCATAGGTCAACGCTCAACCCCTGAGCGACACTGGCCGGGCTCTAAAAATCAATTTTTTGAAAAAAGGTGTAAACCTTTCTGCAAATGTATTTAAAAAAGTTAAGGGAAAAATTAAAATAACAGGTAAATATCATCAATATTCCCTAGCAGATTTTAGACAATTACAGGAAAATCGAACATCAGAAGCAGACTACTTTTTTAGAAAGGCACTAACGCGTGTTTCGCATTTTTTTCTCTGGAACATTATTCCACTCCTTCAATGTCTTCAGTATTTCAGATGTTTTAGGTCGCATCTTGGGGTCAGTCGCAACTAATTTCTGTAGGAGAATTTTCTGTAATGATAGAAAGACTCATTATGAAAAAAATAAAATAAAACATTGAAAAAAATGAAATTCTGATTATTTTCAAGTGCTTACTTCTTTGTCATTAAATATATCCGAGACATGGCCCTTCCTTAGATCTTCGAATATCTGAAAATAAGACATATGTATATATATATTCATTAGGAAATCTCTCACTTGGTAGGAAAAAAAAACTTAGGAAGCACCGAAGCCTGGAGATGCCCTAAATCTGAGACATTTCCAGATTTTTGGAAAGTTTCTTCAGCCAAGAAGCAAGCAGGACTCCACCCCCCTCACCCCCCGTCCCCACGGCCTCATCTAATAGGCATCTCTGACATCACAACATGCTGCAGTGTTAAGAGCATCACATGCCTTATCTCCCTTCATCCTCCTGGAGCACTGTGCGACAGCTAGTTGTTTTGTTACCGTTTTACAGAGGAGAAGGCTGTTGACTCCAGGTGCGTCCCTTTTCCTGAGCTACAGCCTAGGATGTCCAGTCGCCCAATGCATGTAATGGCTCCCCACCGCCTTCTCAACAAGCCCACATTCCTGCCTTAATTTACCCCAACATGTCTATCCAAACCCATCAACCACCACTGCCATGTAACTTATCTACCCCAATAAAAATATCAGACGCTGCCTAATAACCCCACACACACCCTGCACGTTCCTGTCTCCATGCTGGAATCACCTCCTTTCTACTCTGTACTATGAGAAGCCAACCCAATCCTTCAGAGCCCAGCTTCAATGCCTCCATAAATCTCAATCCCGACAGCTGGGAACGATCCCCTTCTAGCTGCTTCCCAAAGACTCCATGCCTTCTCCCAAAACATTTACAGCCCTCTCTCACAGTAGCTTCCCGAGAACAAGGCTTATTCGTTTTTATAATCCTCGTAGCACGTAGCACAGTGTCTTATGCCAAGCAGGCATTCAAAATGTTACGGATTGATTCAAATAGGAATAAAGAGCGATGGTTTAATAAGATGCACACACCTTTCAAAAAACCCCAAAGTTTTTGGTCTTTAACAAAAAGGGTGTGTTGTTTGTTTCTTTCTTTCTTTATTTTAATTTTTCAATTACATATGACACTCAATATTCAGTCTCAACACAGCTTTTCCTTTATATCTTTAGTTAGAGAAGTTCTGTTACGCTAGTCCTCAGGGGTGGCTGTTCTGTAATTTAGTTGTAATTTTGATGTAGTGGTGGGAGGAGGTGAGCACAGCGTCTACCTACTCCACCATCTTGACCAGAACTTCTAACAAAAAGTTTTGGATGCCCAAACATGAAGGAAAGAAAAGCCATATTTCATTTGCAGCCAATGTTAATATGTTCAGGCCCATCATTACAAGAGGCAATAAACTATCTACAGCAGCACTTCGAAGATGATGGGCAATAATTTTTTTTAATCCTCACCCCAGGATATTTTTTCCATTGCTTTTCAGAGATAGTGAAAAGGAGGGAGGGAGGAGAAGAGAGGTAGAGGAGAGAGAGACATCGATTGGTTGCCTCCTGCATGCGCCCTGACCAGGGCTCGGGATCAAACCTGCAACACAGGTTCATGCCCTGGACTGGGAATTGAACCCACGACTCTCCGGTGCACAGGCTAATGCTCTAAACACTGAGGAACACTGGCCAGAGCGATGGCCAATAATTTTTGTTGCTAAATTCTTTCTGTGAGCCCAGCTGGTGTGGCTCAGTGGATTAAGTGATGACCCATGCACCAAGAGGCCATCAGTCCGATTCCAGGTCAGGACACATGCCTGGGTGCCGGGCTTGATCCCTAGTAAGGGGGTGTGCAGGAGGCAGTCGATCAATGTTCCTTTCACATTGATGTTTCTATCTCTCTCTTTCCCTCTCTCTAAAATCAATAAAAACATACCAAATAAATAAATAATTTCTGTGAGATTATTTACCTTAAATGTTTCCTGACGACTGAGAGGTATATGAAGAAGCTCTGAAAGAATTAGCCCTAAGGCAAAGATGTCCACTTCATTTCCATATTCTACTGAAGCGAGCTAAAGAGATCAAAATATATTTACATTTGTTATTCACCTGATAGAAACATATGTGCCTTCTGAAGGCAAAAAAATTTAATTTAACGAAAACATCCTATATAATAAGGAACTAATATGCTGATTAGACTGGACTGTGGAACAACCTTCCTGGACAACCTTCCGGGACAACCTTCCTGGACGACCTTCCAGAACTACCAGTGGGCAGGGGGCAGGGCACAAGGCACCCAGGGCTGCTGCGAGGGCCAAGCCCCTTGCATGAATTTCGTGCATCGGGCCTCTAGTATTATATAACAGTACTTTTTTGTTAGCAAGATCTGTGGAGTCTGACTGCCCAAGTTCAAATCTTTGTCACTAAGTAGCTGAATCACCTGTGTAAATTAACCATCAACATGGGAACAATCCCAACCACAAAATGGAATAACAATAGTTTCAACCTCAGAGTTTGATTGTGGGGTTAAATGAGATGGGACAGCTGAAACAGTTAAAATAGTTCCTAGCTAGCAACTTGCATGCAAATATTCATAGAAGATTTATTCATAATATTCCATAACTGGAAGCAATCCAAATGTCCATCAACAGGAGAACGGATAAACAAATTATGGTATACAGGCATACCTTATTTTATTGTATTTCACTTTATCGCATTTTTAAAAACTAGATCAGAAATCCATTCAGAAACACTTCGTTGTGATGTGGGATAGCAAATGATATTGTTTTCCCAAAAGGCTAATAAATTCAAATTTATTTGCAAATGCTGTCTTCTGATTTCTTTTCTCTTCCCTATTATTGCCTCATCAAGTACTAGAACATTACATGAACTTACTGAATAAAGCAGTGGCAGAATTTGAGAGAACTGACTCCAATTTTGAAAGTTGTTCTACTCTAAGTAAAATGCTATCAAACAGCATCACATGCTACAGAGAAATCATTCGTGAAAGGAAAAGTTAATCAATGCGGCAAACTTCACTGTTGTCTTATTTTAAGAAATTGTCACAGCCACTTCAACCTTCAGCAAACACCACACTGATCAGTCAGCAGCCATCAACATGAGGCAAGACCCTCCACTAGCAAAAATATTACAATTCATTGAGGGCTCAGATGATGGTTAGCAACAAAGTGTTCTTTAATTAAGGTGATATGTTGTTGTTGTTTAGACACAATGCTATTACACCCTGGACAAGCCACAAGATAGTGTAAATAACTTTTATATGCACTGGGAAACCAAAAACTTCATGTGACTTGCTTTACTGCAATACTCCCTTTATCGCAGTGATTGGAACTGAACCTGCAATATCTCTGGGGCATGCCTGTATTCATACTACGGGATAGTATTGCTAGTACAGCAACAATTAGAGGTTCTCCAATAGACATCACTTTGGGTGAAACAATCAAATGGAAAAGAATACATACTGTATGGTCCCATTCATAAGAAGCTTAAGAACAGGGAGAACTAATCAATGGTGATAAAAATCAGAGCACTGGCTGCCTCTGGACGGTGAGGAGGACTGACAGGAAAAGAGCGTGAGGAAAATATTCTACTCCTTCACAAGCTTGTGGGCTTCACAGGTATATGCTTTTGTCAAAACTAAAGAAATGTATACTTAGGATCTGTGCATTTTGCCCTACCTCGTTTGGCTCTGTGGATAGAGCATAGGCCTGCGGACTGAACGGTCCCCGGTTTGATTCTGGTCAAGGGCACATGCCAGTAGGGGGTGTGCAGGAGGCAGCCAGTCAATGATTCTCTCTCCTCATTAATGTTTCTATCTCCCCCTTTCCCTCTCTGTAATCAATAATAATAATAAAAAAATCTGTGCATTTTATGCTATGTAAATTGTTCCTCAATAAAATCTTTTTTAAATTTAAAAATCACTAAGAAAACCAAAAGCACAATAATGAGTGATTTAAAAAAATATTCTGAGGGTGACATTGTAGGATGCAGGAGATCTATACATATAAAAATCAAGCAACTGTAAGGACAGAATGACCAGTCACTATGACGCGCACTGAGGCAGCCAACCAGCCTGATCGGGGCCCCAATTATCCCCCAAGAACCTCCCACAGTGCCCCCGCTGGCCCCATCCCGAATCAGCCCCCCATCCTCCTGCATCTACCCCTCGCCACCCGCCCCAGCCCGGTCCGATTGGCCCCAAATTCATGCACCGGGCCTCTAGTATTCAATAAACCGGGAGTTAAAAGGGAGCCATTAGCTTCTTAATTATCCTCTACTTTCATACTCCACAAAAACTTAAATGACATTTTTATGT